GGTCTCGGCCATCTCGTCTCTTCTTCAACAGGACCCAAAATTTTTCGGCACAAATTCCCTACAAATCGGTGGTCTTCTAGGGATTCGAGGTACGGATAATCATCTATTCTGATTGCGGTGTTGGAATACGGTCGCTTCATATTCGAAATTCTTCACAAGCTTCTCAAGCAAAACTTTGCCCACAACGTGTTCGATAAATTGCTTAAACGGTCAAGGTACGCAAGTGGCAGCTTAATTCCGTTTCTTTATCGTTCGTGTCAATCACCGAGTATGGTACGGACCAAGAACACATCGAAACCTCCCCCCAAGAACAGGGGCAAGGGCAGAGCCGTTACTCCACCCGAGTCTTCGGACAACTCCGATTCTAATTCGAATTCTACTTCGAAATCTAGCTCACACCACTCGGGACCTAACGCGGGGAATGAGACTCGTACACTGGCCGAAATTCATGGTATTCCGTTTCCGGTTTTCAATGACTCGGAAGTAGCTGCCTATAAGCGACTGGCCGCACGACCTATGCCGCATCCTAAAGTTCTCGATTGGAATTTTCTAAAGAAACTTAACATCGAAGAGGAAGTCCAGAAGCACTTGAAAGTCTTACACTTGGAGAAATATGCGGAACTCCAAAATCTCACTTCCTTCCGGACTCTTACCCTCGAGTGTTTCAGCACGATCGAGACACATGATAACGGCAGTTACCTCACTTGTCGTTTGAATGGGCAGGAGGTCAAGATCACAGATAAGGTGCTTAGCCAAATTTATGGGTTGAAAGTCACGGGGGTCCGCCAGAAACCTGGGACGTCCCAGGCCGACAAGTTTTGGGCCGATTTATCACCGTGCAAAACCTTCAACAAGAAGGGACCGTCGGCCGGTCTAATCAAAGAATTGCCCGTTGCGGTCGTGCATAAGTTCCTTTCTTACAACATCTTTGGGAAGAAGGAAGCCAATAAAGTGAGCGAACAGGAGGTGTTCGTGATGTGGAACATGTGCAACAAGAAACCGGTGTGTCTTCTCCCATTCCTCAAACAAGCGCTCATGAACACACGCCGAAACACTTTGAGTTTCCCTACATTGGGACATGTTGTGGCGGATATAGCTGATTACTTCAAAATTCCAGCCTCTTCTGAGGAGGGCCTCGGTCCTCAGGGCATCGGTTTTGCCGAACTCAAGGCTGGGGGCTTTGTGGACAAAATGGGTCAGATCATGCAATATACCAAACGCAAGTGCTACGAAACTTACACGAAGGAGATGTCGTGCTTGGCTCAGGCACCTGCTTTGTCGCAGCAAGTTGAAGGCGGCCCTTCTAANNNNTGGCAGACGAGCATGAGGAGCCGGTCGACCATGCCGCGAGTGATGAGGAAGAGACCACTCAGATGGATTATCAGCAAGCCCCTGCGTGGTTCGTTCGGTATCAGAATGAACAAGCCGAGTATCAAGCACGACAAGAGGCCCACAACGCTAGGGTGGAGGCCTACATGACTAGGAATGACGAACGCTGGGATCAATGGGAAGCGAAGCAGTACGCTAAGTGGAGCGAATGGGACGACCATTTTCATCAGTGGGACACTCGCGGGAGTCCGGATGCGGGACCCAGTCAGCATTACCCACCACCGCCACCACCGAACGCACAGTGATTTCTCACTGTGCTTTGTATGTTTTTCTTTGCCTTTCTCTTTTATTTCGGTATAGCTTCTTTTATTTCGAGTCGTGTTTCATTATATGGTTTACTCTCCTTCACTGAGAATTGACAATGGGGACATTGTTCGGTTTTAAGTGTGGGGGAGTTTTACGTGCTTACGTGGCTATGTGGTGGACCAGGTCTAGTTCTTGCCTTAGGTTGTCCTTTATTTCTTTTCTCGTGCTTGGTGGTCCAGTCTAGTTTTTAGGATTTTATTTGTTGTGTTTTTTGAGTTGGACATTGGTGAACATCGAGACTAGTTTATGATTGGTTAATGACGTTGAAAAGTTGTGATAATGATCTTGAGTGACATATTTTGATTTGTGGCTCGATTGCTTTGATTAACACGCATACATATATATACCCGGTGAGATTTGAGCCATTTTCATTTCTTGTGCGATATTGGTCTAAATGTTGAATAAATCAGAACTTGCCTTGAGTCTGCTGTGAAATGAGTTGATTGGATTTGTGATAGGTGAACATGATAAAGGCATTCTTTGTTATTTGTATATCCTTTTTCTTCTTTCGAAAATAATTTCCGCTAGTCACCCACCTTGAGCCTTACTTCTTATTTTTGTTGTTGACCCCGTGTTGATAATGTTTGGGAAGTGGATTGTGTTGAATATCGAAGTTGTGAGGGTGTTGATTATCGAAATTACTTAAAAAAAAAAAAAAAAA